TTTCCAGCCCAGAGCCTCTCCCATGGCGGGCTGACTGACTGCCTACATGATATCTTCTCTTGGATATCTAGAGATACCATGGAGTAATCTTGGCCAAATTGAACTGATCTTTTCCCCAAAACCTGTTCTTGTCAGGTTCTTCTCAGTAAATGCCACCTCCATCCTTGTAATTGCTCAGACCAAAAGCTTTGGAATTGTGCTTGACTCACCCTCTTTGCCTTATACCCATGGCTGGTCCATCAGCAAATTCTTCCAAAGTATATTCAGAGTCTGACCATTTCTTTCTGCCTCCACTTCTGTCACCCTGGTCCTGTCCACTCGCATCTCTTGTCTAGACCATCATAGCAGTCTCCTCAGTGGTCTTCCTGTTCCCCACAGTCTGTTCCTCACATGCATCCACAGGGACGCTGTGAACATCTGCATCAGGTCACATTCCTTCCCTGCTCAGTACCCTCCTATGGCTCCATCTGAGAGAGGAAATGCCAAAGTTCTCTCCGTGGCCTGCAAAGCCCTCCCTGCATGATCTATGTTACTGCTCTGATATCTCCTGCTCCTCTCTGCTCACTGGTCCTGCCACACCGGCCTCAGAGTCGTTGCACTTGCTGTTCTCTTTACCTGGAACACTTCTCCAGATAGTCAAGGCTCACCTTCACCTCCTTTAGGTCTTCTTTACTCAGATGTCACCTTCTCCTTGAGATCGTCCCTTCTAGAATTGTACCACTGACATTCATATGTTAACTTCCCTTTAACTTTTCCTTAACATGCTGTGTAATTATCTTGCTTACAAGGCCTGACAGTTAAGTTTGCAAACTCATCCTAGAAAAAGTGCTCCATACCTCATTGCTGAATATCACTACGGTCACCGAAGTACTCCTGTTGGGAAGCTATGCACTGACACCAGCGCCTAGTCCACTCTTCAAAGCAATTTTGGAACTTTTTTTCTGGAATGGCCATCAGAGTTGTCATCATATTACCCTTGATGTCCTGAAGGTCATCAAAATGTTTTCCTTTCAAGATTTCCTTTATCTTTGGGTAAAGAAAGAAGTCACAGGGGGCCAGATCAGGTGAGTAGGGAGGGTGTTCCAACACAGTTATTTGTTTACTGGCTAAAAACTCCCTCACAGACAGTGCCGTGTGAGCTGGTGCATTGTCGTGATGCAAGAGCCATAATTGTTGGCGAAAAGTTTAGGTCGTCTAACTTTTTCACGCAGCCTTTTCAGCACTTCCAAATAGTAAACTTGGTTACCTGTCCAATTGGTACAAATTCATAATGGGTAATCCCTTTGATATCAAAAAAGGTTAGCAACATCGTTGCAACAAATTCACAAACTTAGTTGTCAGACCTCATTGTCCCCCGACCCCCATCCCCAACAGACTATATGCTTCATAAGGACAGGGGCTTTTGTGTACTTCATGCTTTATCTGCAACACTTAGAAGAACTCTTGGTACATAGTAGGGTCTCAGTAATTCTTTATTGAATGAATGGATGGATGATTTCAAAGCACAGATCCTGATCCCAGCATCCTAGAGACTCTTTTGTCGACCCTTTTCACAGACTTTTAAGGGGTTGCCTTAAAATTTTATGAGGTCTCAACAAGTATATTCAACAAGTATTTCGTCTTGCCTCGACTTTGTGCTCAGCATTGGGAACACAACAAAGAAGATAGTTTCCCTGCCCCTATAGAGCTCACAGTCTCGGGGGTAGGAGTTCAGATCACCAACTAATGACACAAATATGAAATTACTAAGAAGGGTAGATAGTGCTGTATGAGCACTTGACAGGAAATCTAATCTTCCCCCTAGGTAGTAAGGTTTGAGGTGATGAAAGAGTAGGCATTAACTCCATTAAGTGGTGAGAGAGAAAGTGTGTGTGTGCGCGTGTGTGTGTTTGTGGTGGTGGTGGTGGTGGTTGGAACCTAGGGGGAGCAAGAGGCCAGACTAGGTAGATCCTGCAAGGAGTGTGTGTCCTTACTCGATCTGTAGTGGGAAGCTGTAGAAGAATTTTAAACAGTGGAGGAGGCATGGCCAATTATGTATGTTAATACATACATATTATCCCTCAGGCTGTTATGTGGGGAATTAACTACAAGGGTTAAGGATTGAAGTAGAGACCAGTGGTGAGGCTGTTACTGTGAGATTAAAAGAGCTGCTGCTAATGAAGGCCACACATTCTTTGCTGTTTCTACCATCAAGAGGTGGACTGTTCTCCCCTTTAATCTGGGCTGGCCTGTGACTTGTTTTGACCAATAGAATGTAGTAGAAGTGACTGTGCCAGTTGGGCCTGGGCCTGAAGAGATCTAGCAGCTTCTGCTTTCACTCCCTTGGAGCCCTGGGCTTCTGATAAAGAAGCCCAGCTACCCTGCTGGAGACAGATGTGGAAAGAGGCTCCACCAGCCCTCAGCTGTTTCACTGTTTTAGCTGATGTGCCAGATATGAGTGATGTCATCTTGGAAACTCTAGCCCAGCTCCCAGCAAGACACCGTGTGGAGTAGAGATGAGCCATCCTGACTTACCTCACAATCAGAGCATTGCCCAAATTACAGAATCATGAGCAAAGAAATGGTTGCTATTTCAAGCCACTGTGTTTTGGGACAATTTGTTACCCAGCAATAGCTAACTGAAACAAGCCGATACTTGTTGAGATCTTACCATTTTATGGATTAGCTCATTTAATCATCACAGTTACTCTGTGTGGTAATATTCCCATTATACAAATGAGGAAACAAGGACACAGAGAAGTTAATGAAGTACCAGCAAGTTACCTGGCACGTAGTAAGGGCTGAGTACGTGACAGCTGTTATCAGCCGCATGTCCATCAGCATTAAAACTTCCATAATTGTTAAAGAAGTGGGAGTAAGATGAACAAAAGCATTATTAACCCACTTGTATAATTTTTAAGTAAGTGACTTCACCTCTTTGAGGCTCAATTTCCTTGCAGTAAAATGGGGGTTATAGTAACATTCATGTCACAGCGTTATTGTGAGGAGCACAGGGTCTGGCAGAGAGCAAATACAGTCAGTCCTCAACACGGGTTTGAACTGCACTGGTGCACTTACATGCAGATTTCTTCCCTGTTAACCCGCACATTTCAAACCTGAGTTGTTCAGGGGTCAACTCCGTGGTTGGGAACCCAAGTACGCAGACGGCCAACTAGTTATATGTGGATTTTCGACTGTGAGGGAGGTTGGCACCCCTCACCCTCACATTGTTCAAGGGTCAACTGTACCTAATATATGGCAGGGATGATGATTATTATTAGGGCATGCAGGGCTTGCTGGGGTGTGGTGAGGACTTGATTTGGTTCTCAGTGAGATGGGAAGCTGTCGGAGCATTTTGAGATGAGTGATGTGATCGAACATCTTAATAGGATTCCTCTGGACGCCATGTGGGCACCAGGTGCAAGCAGGACACCAGAGAGGAGGCTGCTGTCGTGGTCCAGCCAGGAGACGGTGGTGGCCTGGCCAGAGGGGTAGCAGTGAGGTGGGGAGATACGGTTGGACTTGGGATATAATTTGAAGGGAGTGTGGGCGGGATTTGGGCCACAGATGTGGGGTAAGAAAGAGGAGTCAACAACGCTAAGGTTTTTTAGCCTGAGCGGAGGCAGGAAGGAGCTCTGGGAACTGTATGGGGAAGACTAAGAGAGGCTGTGGATGTGTTACGCATCTGGTGGACCCGCTGAGCAAGAAGTGGAATAGAGGAGTCTGGCATTCAGGGGTGAGACCTGGGCTGGAGAGATACACAGGGGAAGCATTGGCATTTTTGTGCCAATGATTAGGGCCCAAGATGAGATCACTAAGGGTGGGAATCGAAGTCTGGGAGTACAAGCAGGGAGGCCCATGAGGAAGTTGCTGCCATAATCTAGGGGAGAGATGACGGTGGCCTGGACCAGGGCAGGGGCAGGAGTGAGCCGTCGTCTGCATACATTTTGAAGGCAGGTCCCACAGTGGTTTGGTTGTGGGTAATGACAGAGAGAAACGGACAAGGGCCTCATGAGAGCCTTCCCTGCGTCCCCTGGGCCCTGTGGTCTTGCTTCTCTTTGCATCTGCACTTCCTCTATTTGCTGTGCTGGCAGTGGGTGCTCTCTCGTCCCCGATTCTGTGTGAGCTTCCAGTGCAGTGTCCCACAGCCCCTCTGTCCCCATCCCAAATTCCCCAGACAGGAATCAGATTGCTGGGGTGGGGTGTTTACCCTGTTCATCCTGCTGCAGCTGGGGGGTTCCTGCAGAGATGTCTGTCTGCTGGGGAGGGTTGTGGACTGGGCATCTCAAATAGGCACAGTTACAAAGTGTTTCTAACAGTTGGTGTATTGCGAGCAAGAGTCGGGGTGTGGGTATGGGGTGGGTGGAATGATTGAACCCTGTTTTGGCAGGTGGGTGGGACACAACATTTACGCAGCCTCACAAGCATCCTGGATGGGTGAATGGCGTAGAGGAGATCAGGAAGGTGCGCTCCGGAAGGCTCTGGGCTCAGAAGGGTTAGAGTCGGGTTGGGAGAAGTGACGGGGATACAGCACAGCTTCTGTCATAGATGTTCCCAGAGTAGTCAGCGGAACAGACACTCTTTACTCCTCACTTGAGAGAGAGCCCCCGCCCTTCCAGAGCACATATCCAGTCGGGGAGACACCCCCTCATCAGACAGGGATCAGGGCTGGGATCAGCGGGCACAGGGGACTGTGGGAGCCCGGAGGAAGCACCTGACATAGTCTAAGGTATCAGGAAGGACTTCCTGGAGTAAAGAACTCATGAGATGAGATCTGAAGGCTCGGATGAAGGGAGTAAGGGATTCTACACGTGACTACTTGTAGCCAAGTCAATAGATACTTAAAGAAAATTTTGTATTTAATAATTTTAGATTTACAGAAAAGTTGCAAAGATGGTACAAGAGACTTCCCATGTACTACTCTACACCCAGCTTCCCGTAATGTTAACATCTGACATAATTACGGTACATTTGTCAAAAGAAAGAAATTAATGTTGATTAATATTCTATTAACTGAACTCCAGACTTTATTCATATTCTACCTGTTTTTCCACTAATGTTCTTTTTCTGTTCCAGGATCCAATCCAGGACATCATGTTGCATTTGATCATCATGTCTCCTTGGTCTCCTCCAATCTGTGACAGTTCCTTACTTAGTCTTTCCTTGTTTTTCATGACCTTGACAGTTTTGAGGAGTACTGGTCAGGTATTTTGTAGAATGTCCCTCAGTCTGGGTTTGTCTAATATTTTTCTCATGGATAGAACTGGGATTATAGGTTTGGGGAAGAATACCACTCAGGTCGTATTAACCTGGATCACTTCATTCAGGTGGCGTTTCTCAACTGTAATGTTACTGTTTTTCCTTTTCCTCACGCTCTGTGTTAGAAACAAGTCATGAAATCCAGCCCACACTCAAAGGGAGGAGAATTAAGCTCCAGTTCCTGGAGGGAAAAATATCAAAGAATTTGTCTTCATATGTGAAAGCCACCACAGTAATTGATAAATATGGGAAGATACTTTAAGGCTGTGCAAATGTACTGTTTCTCCTCAAAGTTCCACCCACTAATTTTAGCATTCATCATAGATCTTGCTTGCAACAGTCATTACTGTGGTGTTCTAGCGATGATTTTCTATTTTCCTCATTTATTCTACATTTATTATTTGGAATTCTTCTGTAGGAAGATTTGCCTCTTCTACCCCATTTATTTTATTTGTACAATCATTAATTTAAATCAGTATGGACTCATGGATATTTATTTCATTGTTTGGATATAATCTGATGCTATCGTAATTAGTTTTTTCACTCAAATTATTCCTGTTTTGGCCAGAGGAGCTCTTTCAGGTTGGCTCCTGTGCTCTTAACTCCTTTTTCTTTTTGTTTACTTATTTATTTATTTATTTATTTATTTATTTATTTATTTATTTATTTATTTATTTAACACCTCCTTACTACCTGGCACTGTAAGATGCTCCAGGCTTATCTTGCATTTTCCCTGCCCCAACCCTAGAATTGGCCATTTCTCCAGGGAGCTTTGGTTCCCTTTTATTAGAGAATGGTCTTAGAAACCAAGGCCTGGGTACTGAGTGTGGTTACTGCTACTGGGGCGTCACTGTTTTTAGTCCTTCTCAGCTGACCGAGCCAAGAAATACACATAGTGTACAAAACCACGTGTATACATGTATCTGTATTTGTGTATGTATATAGATAGATATAGATATCTGTATAAAAATAATAAACATGAGTCCATACTGATATTTCATACTCTAATCCAGCCCTAGAAGTTTCATTCTCACCGTCCCTCCCTGCTATCTTGGTAACTTCTTTCTCTGACAATGAGAAACCTAGCTTAGTGGGCACTCTTTAATGTTCATCTTTCCGGCCATCTTGGCAAAAATTGGCAGTGTTGGCCATTTCCTCCTTCTGTGAAGACATTCTCCCCTTGGTCTCTCTGATGTTGATGCTCCCTGATTCTCCTGTGTCTTGCTTCTTTGCCAGAAGTTCCTGTTTTCCCCGATCCCTTAAGTGTGGGGGCAGCTCTTCTCTTCTCCCACCCCCTGGACCATCTTATCCTCTTTTATGGTCTATTTCCTGTCTCTGTGCTGATGACGCCCACTCTGACCTTAGCGCTGACCTCTTCCCTGGGTCCCCGATCTGGAGGTCCTGAGGCCTCATGAAAGCCACCGCCCCCCTCCCTAGCCCTGGGTGATCCCTGGGTCCCTAACACTCACTATGTCCGAAATTGCAAACCACCTCCTCCTCTCAGTTCCTGTCTCAGGAGTGGCCCTTCTATACCCCAGGCTCCCAGAGAGAGCCTTGGGCTTCATCTTTGATACCTCCCTCCCTATCCCCACCCCCCAGCCCGACCCATCAACCCCGATAGCTTGTCCACGAGGACTCCTGGATGCCTCCCATCTGCCCCCTTCTAGCCTTCACAGCCCTGCCTTGGTCCAACCCTGTCCTCTCCCACCTTGTTTCTGCCTGGCCTCCTCCCGGGCCCCTGGCCCCTCCTCTCTCCCTTTAACCCACCTCCACGTGGCAGTGAGAGGGATTTTTGTGGAATACAAATCTGATAGTGTCCTCTTGCTTCAAGCCTCTCCATGTTTCTGTAGTGTTCTTAGGAGAAGATCCTAACTCCTTAGCCTGATACTGAAGGCTTGACCATCACCTCAGCCCGTCTCCCCGACTGCCTGATTAACTCCAGACCCACTGAATTTCTTCTGTTTTCTTGAACATGAACAATGCGCTTACCTGGGCCTCTGCGTGGACCCTCACCCAGCCTCAGCAACCTTCAGCCCAGCCAGTCCTGCCCAGTCCACACTCCACCCACTTTCTTTCCACTCATATTTTGAAACAGTCCCAGACATCAACATCTGTAAGGATGATAAATACAGTAGAATCGGTGGTTATTTCTGAGTGTTGGAAGTCAGGGGAAGGAGATTTACTTTAAAACAATTTTTTAATGAACATGTTTTCATTGAACACATAACACCAATAGCTGTTACAGGAGAAAAATTTAACCAAATAAAAAAACTACATTGTGTTTTAATTCAAGACAAAAAAAACTTTCAAGAATCATTACTTTAAAAAGAATTATTACTGCAGGAAGAGAATAGAGGTGTATTTCTCTGTACACTGGAACAGTCACGCCAGAATGCACTTTTACGGAGTGCTTGAATCACAACTGAGGGAATTTTCTTAGGAATTTTCACAATTATGGTATCCTTGTAAACATGATGTATGTAATTTATCTAAACAGCATCTTACAAGTATTTGGAATAACTGAGTTACATAAAAGGATTTTGTATGTGTAGAGGAAGGTTACTAAAGTATATTGGCGTTGGGAGAATTCTTGTCTACTCTGATATCAATGACAACTGGACAGTGAATTCAGTGTAAAGGAACTGTGAATGCATCCGCTTTGGGACATTTTGTGGTGTTAACTCTGACTAGCATGTACCTTATCGATAACTGCCAGCATTTTCTTGGAGCCTTCTTCATGCCAGGCACCATTCTAAGCCCTTTCCATAGATTAATTCAGTAATCCTTTCAGTATTCACACAGCCCATAGGAGGCAGCTACTGTTCTTATCCCTTTGTTTCAGTGAGGCATTTCAAGTTGAAATCAGGTGCGTCAGGTTCCATAGCTGGTAAGTGGCAGCACTGGGCCTGGAAGCCAAGAGTCCTGGTTGGTTCCATTGTCTGTGCCTTTAACCACCTTCCTCCTGGATTTCATTCTTAAAGGAGACGCCCACATTTCTGATACTGCAACTTGTTCTTTTCGGAAAAAGGGCTTAAATTACTTTTTTTTCCAGCTGCTAAGAAATCTTTCTCAACATACCCAATTATTTGTAAAGAGAAACACTTAACTTTTTTTTTAGGGAAAATTTCAAACATACATAAAAGCAGAGAGAAAAGTCTAATGACTGTCCATGCCCCCATCACCCAGCTTCAGCAGTTACCAGCACGTAGCCATTCTTGGTCCATCCATGTCCTGCACATTGTTCTCCCCTGGTCAATTATTTGAAAGCGAATCCACATGTATTATTAAAAGACATTTTCTTTAAAGACTCCCCCTACTGGCAGATTGACCACCTCTCTGCTTCTCTGCTCCCTATCCCCTGGCTTTCCAAATGCAGACAGATCTGTGCGTGGTGTGTGTGATACCATCACCTGGCTCTGTCCCTGGCTCGCTTCCTGGAACCCTATCCTCCAGGCGTTTATCCCCACTGCTCTGAAGCCTGAAAGTGATTCTTCTTAGTGACAGGGGACAGGCTGGTGTTGCTTGGCAGGCCCCTCCCGTAGTGGGTCATTTAATCTGCTTGTGGCTTTTTGCCCTGATCAAGTCCTCCTCCCTTATTTGGGTTATTTTCTGGGTGGCCCCTCCACTCAAAACCAGGCCTCTTGTAACACTCCTCACACACTGTAATTTCACTTTAAGCACATGTTTCTCGTAGAATGAAACAGGGATTCGGGTATTTTGTATTCATTGCCTGGGAACTCCATGGGCAGGAATCAGGTCTGTCTTCACCCCTGCTGTGTCCCCAGCATTACTAAGCACAGGGCCTGGCGCTCAGTAGGTACTCAGTAACAGTGATGAATGAATGATTGCCAAGGCCAATAGCTGAGCATTTATCATGAGGGCAATAGGAAGCCACAGAAGTGTTTTAGGCAGAACTGGACCCATTTTTCTCAAATGAATGTGCATGTAAATCCCCTGGGGTCTTGTTAAAATGTAGATTCTGAATCAGTGGGTCTGCGGAGGGGCTTGAGAGTCTATTTGTAACAAGCTCCCAAGTGACACCAATGCTTTGAGCAGTAGGGGTCTTATGCTGTTCAGTGTAGCAGCCACCAGTCACATGTGGCTGTGGAGCACTTGAAATGTGGCTAGTGTGAATTGAGATGTATTTTAAGTGTGAAATACCCACCAGAGTTCAAAGACAGTACAAAAAAGAGAATGTAAAATATCTCAATTTTTATATTGATCACATGTTAATATGGTAATATTTTAGATATATTGAGTTAAATAAAATATATTATTAAAATTAATTTAACTTTTTTTTATTTGGCTACTGGAAGATTCAAAATTACATTTGTGACTCTCATTATGTTTCTACTGGATCATGCTGGTCTACAACACTCCAAACTCCCTCTCACCTCTAAGGTTTTTCCATGCTTTTCCCCCTTTTTGGAGTACCCCTCTTTCCCTCAACTTCCTCCTCAAAAATAATTTCATACATCTTTCAGGTCTCAGTTATGATGTCTCATGCTCCAGGAAGGCCTCCTTGATCCCCCAGGTGGGTCAGGTGACTGTTCTGAGCTTCCAGCAGTCTTTGGGTTTCCCTCATCTCAGCCCTGACCATCTGTCATGTCCACATCTATATGTCTGTCTTCCACTTTAGGCGGATAAATCCGTGAGGTTGGGGACAAAGTCTGTTCTGGTCACCACGTTATCTCCAGAACCTGGCACAGTATTGTTAACTGATTTAAGAGATGACATGGAAGATGTGGGTCATGCGCATTTTACAGCTCTCTGTCTGGACTGTGCAGCTGGTTCATCTCTAGCCTTGTTTTGATGTGCCCCGACACCAGCACTCATTTGGAACTGCTCTAACAGTTTTACTGTGTGTACAGTAGACGTGTTATGGATCTTATCAGCCTTTGAGTGGAATTACTCTTCTGCCTCTGGCCCTGAGCTACCCTGGAGCTCCTCTCCTGGGATTTGTCTTTTGCTGATGGCATATTTCTGAATGGGGACTTTTCTTGGTTAATTTACATCAGCTGTTGTCTGTTATCAAAAAATACAGATTTTGATATTTTTCCCAGTCTAAGATTTCCCTTATTTTTTTTTTAATTGCATAGAAACATTGCCTTTGAAAAAAGTCATTAAGAAATAGTCTTTTGGGGCTGGCTGAGTGGCGCGTTGGTTAGGAGTTGGCTTGGGACACCAGCTCTGAGCAGCAGGGCCCTGGTTCGGATCCCACATGAGGGCCAGTGA